CAGCACTCGCGAGGGAATCAGGTTCTCTATCAACATCTCCACGTATGGTTGTTCGACTGAGTCGCCGAGGGATACCAATTGCCGCAGAATTCTTTCAACGTTTTCTACTGCTCCTCTGAAATGTTTGTTGTTTAACTTCATGTTTTTAAGCTCATTGTACAAGTTGCGCTTGAGCGCCGTCGTATTTCCAAAACGCTCTTGAAGAAGATTCCAGACAACTTGTAGTTTTCCTCGCAGTTTTCGTATCCTTCAACTGTTTTGGCTGCCACACCTTTGAGGCAGGATCTCAGATAGTTCAGCTTCTAAATAGGAGGAATATTCTGCTGTCCTACCGCTGATCTGAAATGCGCGCTGAATTCTCTCTATTTTCTCACGTCTCCGTCGAATTCTGTTAACTTGAGTTTCGGTAGCTTGACTTCCAGTCGTGCTACTGGCTGACGAACTGCCGGGATTTGTTGAATTTCTGCATAATCGGAAGCAGCTGCTGATAATCGCCGGGATTTAGATGCGTGTCCAAAACCCCGGCCCGTAGCACTAATAAATTCTATGATTTGGACGATGATAAGTTCTTGCCACGATAGCTCTTCTGTTGTCCACTCCAAAGAATTTATACTAAATAAATACACTTCTAAGCCGGAACAGTGGCCTGCAATATTAGTAGCCCAAGTTTCTCAACTGGGCGCAATACGTCGGCCCTCCTTTGATTATTTGGCGAACGCACCTTGTGGGCTCCTTCTTTACTTCGTTTTATCGAGCATAATACGTCGGCTCTTTCGATTCTTCGAGCTCGGTTCGTCGGCTCGTATCGTCCTTATACCCTCAAACTTGGGTAATATAACCTTTATCAACGAATGATAAAAAATAATGAACGAACGTAACGCGAATATAGGCGCGAACAAGTAGCAAGTAATATACATTATGCATCATAAAAATATAGAACTAAAAATTGAGTTGGGGATGCACACTGATTGTTGTCGACACCCTGTATCGTTACCGGCTGCTGTTGA